GAACAACACCTGAAAACAGTCTGTCTTAAGCGTGGTGAAGGTACTGCTAGACGACAATCCATTGCTGCTATTTACTATGAACCCGAAGTAATACAGTCAGTTGGGAAGTATTTGTACTTCAATTGTGTCTTGCCTGGTTATAAAAATGTCTGTGAAAAGGATTTAGCTGGTCCATGTTGGCGTTAGCATTAGACAGCAACCTCTTAGTCCTGGTTGTAAAACTGTCATCACTGTGGCATCGATGCTGCTTTGGTTCCTGGTGAATGACAGACTGAGCCTTGGCAGTTGTTCCAGTGCATTCAAACCAATTTCAGTTAATTGGGTGGGTGGGAGGGGTTGAGTTTTTCTACAGACCTTGGTATGGTATTGAAACATGTCAATTACTGCATGAATACGATTGGCGAAATAATTAAATAAAAAAATAAAAAAATAAAAAAATAGATATAAAGTGTAAAATTAAAAAACAAAAGAAGTTGCTTGTTGTATAACCGGTTAAACCAATAAATACTTAAAAGTCCACAGTTAATATGTGATTGATGTCTTTAATGGGTCATAAAACTACTGAGCACTGCTGAGCATTATCAAAGCTCCAATCTGACATCCAACAGCTGGAATAAAGCATCATCACAGCAGCAGGTGGCCCTCAGCACTTGTGCTCCACTTTTACATCTTTATGTTCTTAAGTGTCCTCTTCACAAGGAAGGATTAAAATGTGGAGAAAAAAAAGAAATTTGCAGCTACTTCCTGTTAATATATTTCTGTTGTTGGGCACTAATGAGGAGGAGTTGCCCCCTTCACTTTCAAGAGGGTTTAGCAGCAGTTAGCAACAGCTCCAGGCTGCAGGACATAATCACACTTTAACTCAGCTTCACAATGACTCACACCACTTAATTCTCCTTTTCAGTGTCGCCGGAGAAACGCCAGAGGCAAAATTAATAGATGCTAATGGCTGCCTTCCATCAAAGCGGGGCAGGATCCAAATATGCCAGCGAGGCCTATTAATTAACATGTGGAGCAGGCAGGAGGGGTTTGGGGAAGCAGAATGGGGAAGTAAAAGGGGCACTGTGGTTCACACGGGCCTCTGCAGGGCAGCCCATTCAGACTGGAGGCAGGGGGGCTTTGAGGGGCTTCCCAGGCCACAATTAGCTGCTCCTGAATAGGCTGGCATTTGTCCTGCAGGTCCCAAAGCTGCAGAGTGAGAGACTGGTCCAGGCCAAGTCCAGTCCTGAACTGGGCTAAAATGAACATCTGGGTCTGGGCCTTACAAGACCAACAAGGCATCAGTAATGTTTAAATCTGATGGCCAGGCGTTTAACTCCTCCCAGCCAGTAAGTGGCGCACTTCTGTACTGTTTGCCAGCCTGTTTCCAGGTTCAGAGCTACTTCCCTATACCTTCTAGAGCCCTTTCATTAAATGTTCCTGATATCCTGTTTTTTATTATAAATTGAAATATATGTATTGAAAAAAATAACAGATCAAATACTGTTAAATACAGGCCTCAATCATGAAATGAGTAGTTGTTGAAAAATATATTTATGATGTGGAAAAGGAACATCTGCTGACTGCCTCTGCAATGCAAGCAGTGAAGAATCTGAAGTTTCTTCAAATATATTTTTAGTCCCTATTGGAGATAGACAGCAGAGTAGAAGAATGTCTGCTGCCATAACATAGCATAGCATAATGTGCATAGCATGTGTTCAAGTTCTGTTTTTATCTTTAAAACATACCTTAACTCTAAAGCATATATATCTATATGTTCATACCATAATCACAGCATGTACCAGTAAAGGATCTAATGTCATTTGTAGTCTAGATAATGATTGGGCTTTTTTAAAATGTTTTTGAGGAATAGATTTAGAATAATTGGCCTGTGGAGCTGATCCTGATTCTAGATTTTTCAGTCATATTTGGGATTTTTCACTTTTAACAATAGGTGTTAATCTCTTAAATTACTTCTGCAACACGGATGTAATATTACCTGCTGAGCCTTGATCCATCTTGTGACAGTTTTTTTTAATTTATTTTTGATGAGCTTTTCATATTAGATGCACTAAACACATGGAAGTAGAATCTTCCTTAATCTATCAGGCCCTTTGACAAAGCTTCTCAGTAAATTCATTTGTTTTTTTTAGGTATGTTGCAGATCAAAACAGCTGTACTTGGTCAGATCAGGCCAACTGTCTGTTTTCTTTTACAGCTTCAATCCAGCAATTCTCCTCTTCACTCCAAAAAAGCAGTGCAAACTGATGTCCAGTGTCCAAGTGTTACAGTACCAAGCAGCAATGTGCTGTTTTACACAACCTGCTGTCTACCTTAACTGGTTGCAAGTGAACTTCCCTTTCATTCTCATTTCCAAATAACTTTGGATTGTTAATTTTTAACAAAGAAATATTCAGCTAGGATCCAGCAATGCTGCAGCTCTGACTCACATGACTTAAACCTACTATTCCTTTTGGTGCAGAATAATTTTGTGTGGATGCCAACATCCACACAAAATCAGAAGAAAAGCATAATCAGAAGAAAACATTTCTACATTGCTGAACTGTCAATTATTTATATAAACTTTTTTTCCCCCCAGTAATATAAATACTTGTATTCAATAGTAGTGTTTTTTTTTTTTTTTCAAAAACATTACATCAAAAGAACACCAAGAAGTTATTTTGAAGTGTAAATATTTGATTAAAAATGTGTAGCTTTGGGGTTTAACATTATAGGTCAAATTTGTGTGCAAGGTTCCAGTCCAGGAGCAAATCTGTTTTCATGTTCAAGACTGTTCAGACCATATGAGAGCTACGGGTTTATTCAGGATTACAATATTGTCAACATTTAAAGCATCACATCTCTACTGAAAAATAGCAATACAAAAATAAACAACAATAACCTATTAATAATTATGGACATGGGTATAACCAAAACTGAAAGTATGATCACATGGATCCATTTTAAATGTTATTTATAGCTGAGGACTGCTTTCTGTTTTGCACATTTGAAAAAATTAAATGAAACTACTTTGATTAGAATGCAGTCCTCAGAAATACATATTTTTTCTGTAAATTAAGCTTTTCAAATCTCTTTATGAGAATAATTATAACTAATATCTACAGATCTCATTTTTCACAACTGCAATTAAATTAATATCAGAAATAACTCATTAACCTCAAAGGGAAACTAACGTTGCCCTAACTCCTAACATGGTCGTATCTTTAACAGCTTGTTAAAGAAACTGAGCAAATACAAATAAACTTTTTTCCCCAATTTACATTGTTTTTTGTTTGGCATTTTTAAATAATAATAAAAAATAATGATGATAATATTAATAGTAATATTAATAATAACGATGATAATCAATTAAAACTGAGATCTGTAGGCATTAGTTACAATGATGATCATCATCATCGTCATCATCATCATCATCATCATCATCATCATCATCATCATCATCATCATCATCATCATCATCATCATCATCACCATCATCATCATCATCTTTATTATTATATCTTTAATTGACTTTTTTAAACCTTATACTTTATATACAGCAGTTGGTGATTTTGGTCACTGTTAGCTACACTTTGAGTTAAAAAGCCTCACTTCAAATTAATTAAGTTTTAACAACTCCTGTGTATGAATGGCCTAGAATTTAATAAATTGGTCTAATTAGTCCTGACTAGTGACTGAAAGAATAAACTTTTTTCCTGGTGTAAAAAAGCTGCACTTTGTGCTGAAGAGCTGAACCAGCTGTGTTTCTAGTACCATTTAGTTAAAGTTTTTGTTTTATTTAATTTCATTTCTGTATAAATGTGTTAAATATTTCTTTTCATATATATATATATATATATATATATATATATATATATATATATATATATATATATATATATATATATATATATATATATATATATATGCTTTCTGTTATAGTCTTTTATTATTCTTTTGACTCAAAGGTTTGGGTAACATCCAGTTGAGTTGGTTGGATTCAGTTTTGATTGATGTGAAGTTAATTTGTCGACATTAGCCACAACACAAGACTCTAACAAGGCAACAAGAAGTGGAGGAGGAAATGGATCTGACCTTTGACCTGCAGGGTCACTGAGGGATGCACAGACCTGCTCGGCTTTCCTGCTGCTGTTTTGTATCCAACTTTAAATTTGCGTTACATTGTTTTTTTAAGCTAAATTGTAATGATTTGTGAGAATCTCTCGGAGTTAAACTCTTGTTTAAAATGTATAAAATAAGTAAATCAAAAGCTGGTATCAACCCAAAAAATTTGACTTCTTTTTGTTTTTGTTTTGTGTTCTTAGATTGAGCGACTACAGCAATGATACAAAATAAGCTGAAAGTATAAAAAAGCCTTTAAGACAGAGAAAAGCAAGAAAGTAAGAAGGAACTAAAACATGTTAACAAATAGCCCCTAAAAAGAGATAGTGGAATAAAACCCTTTAAAGAGGCTCAGAGAATTAAACACAAAGAACAAAAACAATTTGAAAAAGGAAAAAACATTTTTCGCAAATAACATAATGAGGAAACTGTATAAAATATATATAGAAAAACAGAAGTACTGAGAGTAAACGAAATTAATACAATTAAAATGTTTTTTATTTCATAAAAAAAATCAACATAAAGCTTTAAATTTAAAGAATAAATTTGCCATGACAACAAAAATAATGAAAACGTCTAAAGTATAGCAAAGCTGAATCTCAAACATGCATAAAATGAAATAAAAATCTAAAATTGTTTTGGTTATTTCAGAAAAACATGTATTTCCTTCAGCCCTTACAAATCTAACAGGAGTCACTGATTTGTTTTAATTAGCGCGCCTATTAATAATGTTTGTTAAGACCTCATATTAATCATTGTCATCATCACTGTCAGTCATTATCATCACCACCTTTGACATCCTCCTCCTCCTCATCCACCCTATCAACAAAATGGCTCTAACAGGGGCCTCCTCTGCGCATGCGCACAGCACACCTCCGGCAGGTATCTGCGCTCCTCCAGACTCTCCGGATTCATCAGACTCCAGCATGAGGAGGCAGCAGGCTGGTGGAGACGCGCTCTGATCCGAGGCTGTCACACAGACCCATAACAATCACTCTCCATCTCTCCAGAGGTTCGGACACTCCGAGCGGAGCCAGGATCCGGATCAAGTTTGACTTTCTTTTTGTTTACCTGCTACAGCGGAGGAGACAGGAAACTTCAGCCGCTCCCAGGAGCTCAAGTCTGGAATTTACGCACGACTGGTGCGCACAGGGCCGACTTTCGGGGAGAGTTATGGAGGGACTAGGAATCTGAGACCGACCAAAGTAATTCACTTTCCTGTACATCGCGTCAACATCAGGTTTCTCACCATGTTCCAGCACAGCAGCAGCAGCAGCGGCGGCGGCAAGAAATGCTTCACCATAGAGTCTCTGGTGGGGAAAGATGCCAGCAGCCACAGCGGAGGCAGCTCCGGGGATGAACCCATCCGGCCCACTGCGCTCCGCTTCCCGGACTCTTTGCACCCCGCTTCAGCCACCGGGGTCTTCGGTTCCTGCTTCCAGGGGGGGAGCGGGAGGACTTTGTTTTCTACCGGGCCGGACATGATGCTGCAGGAGACCGGGGGGCACGCGCAGAGCCCCGGTGGGCTGCCGCTGCACCCGCTGCAGATCTCACCGCAGAGTTTCTTCAGCCCGCAGCACCGGGACGCGCTGAGCTTCTACCCCTGGGTGCTGCGGAGCCGCTTCCTGGGACACCGCTTCCAGGGTGAGCTGCTGAAACCAATTACAAATATTTATGCGCCTATCAAAGCACAAAACAGGCTTTCTCTTTTCTGAAACTCACTAAAACGTTTCATTTTCCCCTTTAATATTTCAAGCGCACACATTAAAGCTATGTTTTTTTTTTTGTTTTTTGTTTTTTGCATCTCAGTTAAAATTTAATTATTATTTTTTTAGAAAGTTTACTCCGTCCATATAAGTGATCTGTGTCCATCATTAGAGTTTAGTCCAGTAAACGTTATTAATAAGATTCAAACTCCTTAACTGGAGAGGATTTAGCTTTATTTGTGATCCGAAACAAGCGTGCTCACTTAAATGAATCATTAAATGTATATATTATATTTATCTATTAATGAATAACTCAGTTAAAGACGCACATGCAGCTGAGCAGAAAGTGCGCGTGAAGCGCATCAGCTGATCCAGTCCAGTTCAGAGGTTCTGAACTAGGAATAGGTTTTTTACTAAATATCAATATAAATGTCTCTGTGTTTTTTAAAATATCAATCAGTAATGCGCCTTTACTCTATAGAAAACATAAATTACATAAAGTATTTCACAATAGAATAAAAAATAAATTAATATAGAGACAAAAAATAATGTACATATTTTGTAAAATAAATTATATCTTAATTCGGTGTCTTCAAAAAACGAAATAAACTAATAAAGAAAGAATAAATAGATGGGGAATTATTAAAGCAAACTAAAAGAATCCCGTTTAAATTTGAAAGATTTTCTGCTGATTTAATTTAGTTTGGATAAATTTGATTGTTTTGAATATCATTTGCCACTTTTATTTGGGATATTTATTTATTTATTTATTAGGTTTTCGTTTTAGAAATGAAAGACAACCACATTTTAAAGAAGAGGAAAGATGATCAATATTTTATTACAAATTAAGTGATACGTTTTTATAACAAATAACAAAAAAAAAAAAAAAAAGAAATCACACCATGACGAGAAATATTAAGTTTACTTAAAGTTCCCTCACACCCCGTAAACCAAATATCCTCCGTTCTAGAATATTTTGAGCTCCCTTTTATTATCAATAAATAACGTTCTGAACTATTTGAGTCTTTTAATGATTTTTAAGTTTTTTTATATATTTATTTAAGATTCTATTATTCTTTAAATTGTTTTGTCCCCAAATTTAATTAAGTATAAGTACATTCATGAATAAGGAAAAACATGAAATGCTAAGTAATAATATACCCTATAGGCTACTGAACTTTATTGGGCAAAGGGTTTTGAAAGTGTAATAATGTAATGGCAATTAAATTACATTAAAACATAAATAATTAAACAAGCTTTTAGAATAAAGACAAAAACACCTTTATTGTGAGTTTTAAATGAATTGCAAATGATAAAAACAAAAAATATATGGGCATATATATGCAATTATAAAAATATAAAAAGGAAAAAAATCTTTAATGTTACAATGGTAAATATTCTGTTTAAAAAATATCTTAAGTGTATATTTGCTTTAAGTGGGTTATTCTTTCAGCTAATGGTGTGTTTTAGATTCTGTTTATCATTAAATTAGGTAATGATTTGATTACCAAATTAAATGAGGATTATTTTAATAATGATTAATCACAATTACTTAATTAATTGTTTCCATCCTATTTACTTTATTTCTTAAACCAATATGTTTTTGCAACTTGATATTTTAGATAAAATTGTAAAAAGGTACTTTAATTTATGTTAGAAAATATTCTTCTTAATCGTGAAGTGGAGACCAAACACAATTAAATCTCTTATTTTGAAAGTCAGGATCATACATTTTTGAAATATATTATATTATTATATTTTTTTCAATTTAAGGTTTGTTATTTTTTCTTAAAGAAATGTAGCAACTTCTCATTTTATTTGTTTGGCAGCTTCACAAATATTCACAGAAAAAAAATCTGTTCCCATCAGCCTTTTAATTTAGCTGTTGAAAATGTATTTTTATTTTAGTCCAGGCTGCAACATAGTCCCATAAAAGGTTATGACAGCGGTCAGCTTAGGACATACTCAGCTTGTTTTTTAGGAAATCTTTTTAGAATATTTGTGTAATGTTTAGACTATTCAAGCATGAGTTAAATCTCATATTTGAAACCTCTGTTTTAAAAAAATAATTTTAAAGCTGGTATTCTCTGGAGTAGCATTAATTATTCATAAATACATGATAAATATTCCAGTTTAATAAATTTTGTTAAACTCCCCCCCCAAAATAAAAACAACAAAAAACCAAATCGAAAGGCATATTCTAAAATGTAGGAATCATATGAATAAATTTTTGTTTTGTGTTTCATGCCTGCCTTTAATCTATCTAAAAAGAAAATATTTGTTATTTTCAACTGATCTGTTATGACAAAGGAACTACTTTCAGCAGCGGATGATTATTAATCTCTTTGGGCCCAAACTTATTTCACTGCTTCCAAATTTCAGGTGTTTCTTTTCTGATCCCTTTCAGTTGTTTCCATGATCTCTTCCTGATTCTCCTCCTCTCCCTCTGTGCTGCACCTCCTCTCTTATAGCCACATTTTCCTCATTATATATGGAAGTAGCTGACAGCCTCACTTTTCCTGCAGCTCCTTCTCCTGCAGCTTCAATTTACCACAAACCTGTCTTTGTTTATGATATGAAACATCAACACTTCTTATTTATGAAAAAGACAAGACATATTACAGTGTTTTGCTCTTAACAGAAACTAAATCAATGTGCAAAGACCTTTTTCTGTTCTAACTTCTTGTAGAAAGACCTTTTCAATAAGTCAAAGGACTAATCTTGTCATTATGCTATCTGGATTGTCCGTAGTTGTTTTTGCATGGCCCAAATTATCACCCAACCACCGCTGTGCTTTTTTATTTGCTTGCTTGATCTATCCTGGAAAGAATTACCGTATCTATCTGCTTTTATTTTTTAACATGCTAATTTTAACCTTTATAGTCTGATATTAAGTTTTTTTTTTTTTAAATATTTCAAATAGTTTACAAATATTCTTACAATCTTTTTTTTTTTTTTTTTTTTTGCAGTTTGATGACGTGGCTTCTCATGTATCTTATGATACCTATTTGTTAATAAATGTATTTGTCCAACAGCCCTTTCCCCTCCTAAATTATATGGAAGCAGAAAGAGTAGAATAAGAGTGCAGGAAGAGGCAAAAAACCCCAACAAAAATATAAAACCACTGGACTATATGAAGCCCCAATTAGAAAGTATTTTTAAAAATCCGAACAATTAAACATTAGAACTTTCCCTCTTAATTTAATCAATGTTTATTGAATAATATATATAAAAAAATACACCAAATGAATAAAAAGATTATAAATAAAAGTTATAAATTTGAATAAAACATAAAGCATTAAGCATAAAGCTTTATGTTAAGACTTTTTAGTATGAGTTTTTTATATCGTTTGAACTCTAAAGAATTTGTGTTGCAAACAATTCCTCAACAGTCAGAGCTGCATTCTTATTTGCAAAGTAATCTGTCACTTTGAATGCCTCTTACCCAATAGTAAACTGCTGTTATATTAATTACTACCAGAGAATGGTTAAACCATGATGAAAAAGCTGAAGTAACAAAGCTTGATTTTATGTTGCTAAATTATTGCTACACATTTCTGCTTCATCTAATAGTAGAATTCTAAAACAAGCTTAGATCAGAATTTTCTTGGCAGGTTCTGCTTTCCCACTCACTCTAAGGTCTGACATGTTATTACTGATTTGAATTAATTCCAACAACTATACACATATAAAAGATATGAAAAACACCATACCGGCGTTTTGATAGATGTAATATTTTGAAATAAATGTTTGGGAATTAAAGATCATCACAATGTGTGCCCCAAAACACAAGTCTTTTATGTAATATTTTACTGTTTTCATTTATTTTGTTAAAGTGCATGAAAAAGCCCATGGCTAAATATTACGCATTAGGCAAACTGAAGTTCACCCACTGATCAGCTGAGGGAAAGAAAGTTTGGTTATTTCTGATCTTTGGATGATCAGTTTAGGTTAATTAATAAACACTTTATTAAGATAACTGAAAAAAAGGAACTCCCAACACTCACAAAGTAGTAAAAAAAAAAATCAGTTTTCGTGACTGATGAGATGCTAATGATGAAAACCATTTGAGTCTATTTGCGAAGGAAGCACCAACTTTCCGTCCTGCAGGCTGTTCTTGTTCAGGAGGGTTTATCATCCTACCCGATCACCTGCTTCATCCTATCAATCCAATGCATTAACACATTGTAGGATATTATACAGTATTTGGCTCCTAGTTTAAGAGCAAATGTGCTGCAGCACATGAAGCTGCAGAATGTGAAGCGAAATCATCTGGATTTAAAGTGACAGAAGTTTCTCCTTAACCATTTTCAGCCTTATTCACAGATACTTTTGTTATCCTTTGTGTGCTATTGTTAATGTCCTGCTCCTGTAAAGAAGTTCTGCTCAGATCCAACTGGTCAAGAGTTTTCAGGACTCACAGCTACTCTAATTGAAAAGCCTAATCCGAGAACAGATACTGATTAATCTGCACAAAACTTAAAGCTCAGCTCTATGTCAGACCAGCTATTTGCTCTTTTTGCCGCTCATCAGAGCATTGTTAAATATTTCTAAATCCTCAGGCTTATTCCCAGTCGTTTAAATTTCAGTTTCTGGTTTGAGTTTGCTGTCCTTATTTGTGTTTTTGCGTTCCTTAACTGCCAACCATGATGCCAACCATCATTTACTAAAACTTTTTAAAGGTCTGCAGCTTAATTTTAAACACCTGCAGCACAGTAAAAAAAAAAAAAAAAAAAAAAAAGGAGTGGTAATATTAAAAATGTGTGTTGTAATTTATATTAATTTTATTTTCGACTCGAGTAGTAGCTACATTAAAGCATCGTTTGACACTGAGCAGAAATATTTGCAAACCATGACGGGCATTAGTCACGGTTCTGAATTTGCATGTGAATAAGGCGACTAACGCCATATAAAAGGTGCCCGGAACGTGCCGGCTCTCCGCCCGCCATCATTGTCGCTCAGCCCGCTCTTTTGCGTAGAGTGTGATGGTCGCGGTGGCTCCTTTTCACCAGGCTTAAAAGAACCCAAGCGCATATTTGTTTTTATGTAAAAACTTATTGATACATTTACGTACGTTTTCAATAACCTGTCAGGAAAAATAAAGGCAGAAGCCGCGCGACGGTTTGGGGCGAAGAAATTAACACCAACCCTTTTAGCATCACTTTCACTTGTATTATACGACCACTTTGTCTCATAAACAAATCAGCTTCATGTTCGGTCCAGAGGTGCGACTCGCTTCAACACCTCAGTAAAATCACATAAACCGAGACGATCCGCATGGAAATAAATTCGATTCGCTTTTTAACGGGCGGGTTTTCACATCGCTTCGTTTGGAAAAGCTGCAGCTGGTTTAATGTTTTACATGTGAGGTTTGTACATTATAAACCAACGTTAGCCTATGGCTAACACAAATGATAAACATTTGGTTTAAAGTTTGTTTAGAAAACAAAAATTACAAATGTCAAAAACTAGGCTGTTCTTATGGCTAAAATACATAAAAAGTTTATACTTTATAACATTACACATTTTGACCTTAAAAGCTAAACAAGCTCAAACTAAAGCCATATGTTATCTTAATTTCTTATAACTATTTTCATCAGAGGTGTTTGATTATTATCATGTAGTTTTCTAAACCTCTGAACATGAACTGTTTGTCACCATGTCTCAGATTTGGACGCTGGCTGCTAGTTTTATTATTCAGATATAATTTATAACTTTTTAAATAAATCATGTTGGGAGCTCCGTAGAATTTATCCACCATCATAAAAGATGATGGGTGAAACAGTCTCCCAGCTTTGGAGACTTTGTCTGTTACAACCATTGACTTTATATAACAGATATACACAATTAAAGCAGTAGCACATCTGCTGACTTTTTTAAATTATCTTCCTCACAAAGTGAATCGTGTTAATTTACATTCTAAAAAGCTCACATTTAAAGTTTTACACAGATAAAATGTCCTTCTAAGGGTCCTAAAGTAATATCAAAACCCTTAGATCTAGAACCAGAACTTCAAAAACTGAGCAAATCTGCTCAAGTTTCTGCAGATCTTCCTTATATTTGATAAAAAACCTTTCAATATCACTTCAATATCGCTTCACTGCCATCCATGCATCCATTTTCTAGCATGCTTATCCCGAGTCAATGGACAAGAGGTGGGATACACCCTGGACAGGTTGCCAGTCCATTGCAGGGCATTGCTTCACTGCCACAAAGTGATAAATTCAAATGCAAATGTCAAACAGATTAAGTGTTTGTTCAGATTAGCCAGAGCAAACAGACACACAGAGGCATGTTGCAACAACAGGGAGCTCCGTAGGTTTGACAAAAAAAACATCCAAAGGCATAAGTCCACAATGAAGTGGGTTTTTAGGCACAGCTCTTTGGTGGGACGCTGCTTCCATGTTCACATCGTCACAAAACAAGACATGTTAGTCTGAGGACCTCTTACAGCCTCAGGACTTCTGGATTTACCTTGTTTTCATTTCCAGTCTTTTGTTTGGTTGTTTGCTTTTCTCTCAAGAACAGAAACTGATCACTACAGAAATTATAGCATGTAGAACAGGATAACCCTGAAAGGAACATACTATTAAAACAAAGTTTATCAACACCAGTACTTCAAAACCAAAAGTGAAAGTCTTACATTAATTTTCAGGAATGGAAATATTTCAGATGGTCAGTCGGTTGATTCAGATTATAATGGTATAAAGTTAATAAAAAACTTATAGTCAGTTTCTCAGAAACTATATGGCGCCTGGGAATTGAATGGTGGAAGGGGAATATTTAGGCAATGATACCATGGGACCCAGTTTTAATAGATATTATAAACCCTTAGACCTGAAGTGCAGCAGGTGCTAAACAGTCTGTTCATCTACTAGTGTTAAATCCATTACATATTATAAAACTTCTGCCTTTTAGGCTTCATGCATGTTTATCATTGGCCTACATCTAAGATTTAGAGAAAAATAATTGTTGCATCATTTCTTTCTAATCAGAAAATGAAAGCTTTTCTAACCTTTCTTAATGAGAAAAACAACTGTATGCAATCTGAAAATGTACAGTAGTTAACCTCGCTAAATTGTTTTTTTTTTTATTGCTCATGAAACCTTTTTTTCTGGTGTGCTATTTTATTTTTTCATTTTCTTTTATCTTCACTTAATACACATCTGAATAACATAATTAAATGTGATGCCTGGAGACATAAACCGATTTGTTTTTTCAGGAGACGACAGCAGTCCAGAGAACCTGTTGCTTCATGGTCCGTTTTCCAGGAAACCCAAACGGATTCGGACGGCCTTCTCCCCTTCTCAGCTGCTGCGCCTGGAGCGTGCGTTTGAGAAGAACCATTACGTGGTCGGAACGGAGAGGAAGCAGCTGGCGAGTGGGCTGTGCTTGACAGAGACACAGGTGAGGCATCCTCTGAGACACAGGGGGCAGTGCAGCATGGTGGGAACTTTTACATAGGTGTTTGTTGTTGTCAATACTGGTTTCTAGTCCTCTGTCAAGTCATGGTGTAGCATAAAAACCTTAAACCAACCATATCTTTACTTGCTAATCTTGTAATTGTTTTTGGCAATGACTGCTTTCAATGATTTATTTATTTGTTACTGGCATCCTTTCCTAAAGAAACCTCTAAATTTGCATATGGAGAATAATAGAGTTTATTAAACAGAAAACACTTTTAGCTACTACAAAATTATACCCAAGGAGATGTTAAGTGAAAAGTTGTAAGAATTGTGCTTCCCAATGTGGTACTGATAAAGCTTGGAAAAATGTGCCAGTAGGCCATACATATAAATGACTGCAGACCTGCCTAACATGCAATATCAGATCAGTTCAACTTACTAAATGTTGCCTAAATAGCTATTTTAAAAGCTCAGAGTGGGATGGGAAATAAAGTAAAGATCACTTAGTAACGAAGTTTGTCCTCTGCATTTGACATATCCCTCAGGGAGCAGCGTGCTGCGACTTTGAGTAGCACAAGAGAATCTGTTTGAGGTTGAGAATCAGCCCTCATGAAGGATCCCTTTTCTATTATTTGTTTTATTTTGACATGTTTAATATCAAACTGTAATTTAAATCCTGAGTGGTTGGGATCTAATCTTACCTCATCAATGCATGTTGGTTACAGTTTGTTGCCTTGAGTTCTAATCAAACCTATTTTAATTTTGTTTATTGATATAGCACCAATTCACAACAGATGTCATCTCAAGGCACTTTACAGAGACAATACAGTCAGATTAGTTAAAAGTTTCTATCAAGGAAAACCAATTGATTGTATTGAATCATTTATTTGCAAGGCATGCTCCTCCTGGAAGAAACCTCCATCAGTATCAGTGTGGGCGGCATTTTACCAAAGCCGACCGGGGTTCAGGTAGAGAGAAACGGACATACAAATAAAGCAGATGTAGGAACGGAAAAGATTGAGTTATGCCTGATGATGCACAATCATTTTACTCTATACAGATTTCCCCCCACTCGGGCTGGCTCTGGGGGGGGGGCGTGTTCAGCACAAACTGCAAGCTGACGACACCACACTATACGAAGAAGTAGAAAACACAGCTCGTTCAAAGCCTCTTTATGCTGTCTAAGACCAAGAGTAATTTCTTTCCTGGGATTTCTCCACAATTATTTAAGAGTGGTGATATTTATTTGATAAATCATCAGATGTCTGTCGATATCTATATTAGCAAACCCTTGCCAGTAGGAGCTTTTGCTGGATCGCAATAGAAGGACGACACACGGAAGCTAAAAATGCCGTATTTTGGCTGCGCGGACCTCGCAGAAGTGTTAACCATAAACCAAACATAACTGTTTACTAGCTCCAAAGGTGGCCCTGTGCAGGTAAGACCAAGACAGGCAGGAGAGCTCTGAGCCAGTCAGAGGATGAAAGAGAGAACATACAGTAGATAACAGTAAAAGAAACATGACAACACTAAAAAAACTGGCTCAACTCCAACATCTATAACAGGCAGCAACAAAGCTATTTTATTTCCATATGGACTCACAGTCAAACAGGAACAAGCAGGATGAAGCTTCAATGACAAGAAAAAGCAGAGAGAACATAAAGCTATGGTTGGAACTTAACAAATATTTTAGAAGGGGAGAATAGAGATGGAATGAAGCAGAATGATGAAAAGTAGTCCCCATGTCCTCCAGCTGCCTAAACTTATAACAGCAAAATGATAGAAATTGGCTCAGGATAACTTAACTATTTTGGATGAGGTATGAGAAAGGCTGAGCCAAGAGGTTATTTTTGTTTCTTTTTAATAACCGGCCACTGCGTCTCATTGAGGGTTAAGATTTTGGGAGTTTGCATTTCTACGTGATTTTTTTGGGATCTCTAAAGCACTTTGTTGACACTTTTGCATTGCTGCATCTTGCTGAAAATGTATTCTGTATTGTAAGAAGTTAGTCTTTAAGTAATTTTTTTTCTCAGATATTAATTTTAGCTCTAGACCTTCCCTCTCCATAAATCTTAATAACTTAGAAGGGGAGCTATTTAGAGAAAAAAATTTATTTGCACTGGTCTTCGTTGATCTATCCTTGTACTTCTTGCAGGCATGTTCCTTTTTCCAAACCTGGGTCTTATGGCTGAATTACCTCCTCAGGATGCAGTTGAGGCCTTGCTCTAAACAAAGCATTTTTAGCTGTGATGTCAGTTGTGCTTTTAGGGTTTGAGGAACGCTGAGTCGGTGATTAGTCAGGGCAATCTCTTTTTCTCAGGACGGTGCTTGTCATCAAGTCGGCACGGTAGTTGGGCTCCTGACGCCAGTGAGAGGATATGATTCATAAATTATGAGCTCATTTCACAACAATAGATGGGAATAGAAGGATGTGGATCTGCCAGTCAGCTGCCAGCAGCAGTTATTAATCACTCATAATTATGACTTTGTGCAATCAGAGCACATTTACGGGCAGTAATGATCGAGTGTATCAACACTGCTGTGGGACATGTCAGCTCCGTCATCCAAGTGAGCTTCAATAAAACTAACTTACAATAAAACTTCTTACTTGCCACAAGGGGCCCTGCAGAGAAACAGTGACTCAGGTCATATAAAACTATTTCATATATGTTTTTTTTTTATTTTACTTAATTTTATTTTTTTTTTTTACAAAAAAAAAAATGAACTAACAATGCTTTTATATTAAAGTATTGTGTTAAGTCACACCTTCAAATGTTAGATTTTTCCCTTAGCTCAGCAAGAGGCCAATTATTAACTCTGCACCAGGTAAGAAAAAGGACAGAAACATCCAAAACATGTAAAACAAAAACCACTAAAACTACTTTTGTTATAACAGGAAGCGATTTGCTTTAGAAAGTTTTGACCGATACAAATTTCTCCCTAACTCCTGTTATAAAAAAAAAAAAAAAACTGCTCTAGCAAAATAATACAAAACACTATATAGTATTTCTTTATGACCGTATGACTTGATAAAGATTTTTTGGGGTCTCTTCACAAAATAAAGACCTTTGAAAGCAAGGCTGGAACCCTGCAAACGTCTCACCAAATAGGTTTTCTCCTGATATTTTTCTAATCAGAGAGAGGCTCTCCTTCATACTCATAACATTCTAGATGTTAGCAGCACATATCTCCATTCCAAGAGGCACACCACATGGCACCACTCTCCAGTCAACATGCAGGCAGGTTCTGGGATGTTTTCCATTACCTTGATTTGGAAATCTTCCCTGTAAATGAGGCAGGTTGGGCTGAATGATGTACCACTGACTTGCTGTGTTATTGCGATACAGCCTTGTCTTTTAAACACTCTAGTTCTCCGTAGTTACTTATACAACTGTAAACATGCATATCAGGTTAAATGGCCGTCCTTAATTGTCCTTCTGTGTGTTTGTGTGTCTCTATGTCTAAAATGATTAAGCAGGTAGAGAAATGTTGGGTTAGAGTTGCACGGCCTACAGCATCAAGTTTAGTCTTGCTGCGCTGAATGAAACGCCTTAATTTATTCTTTTTTTCTAATTTATCACCATGACAAGAATTAATGCATTAAAATAAGCCCGGTAATGAAAAGGCAGTATTTATGGACACATGAGGAGTGAATTAGTCAATCACTTGGATGATATTAAACATAATTAAAACTAAATAGATATTTCTCATCTGAAAATCTCTCAAAGGAATGTTATTTTTGTTATCGTGGTTATTTTTCTATGATATATAAAGAAAGAATCTTAACTTTGATTCCTGGTATAATCTGTGGTAAATGTGTCTGTTTCGCATTAGCTTTCTTATGCTCTGCATGGGTCTAGAGAGCCTTCAGCTTCTGATAGATTGCGCAACACAAATAGGGATCCAGCGTGGCGGGTTTAAACAGCTCTGCGTGTCATAATGGTGTTTAACCAGTGAGCAGGTCTTAAATCGTTGAACAGCTCTTACACATTCATTCCTATCAGTGACAGCATCAATTCAATTCAATTCAGTTTATTTATATAGCGCCAAATTCACAACACATGTCATCTCAAGGCACTTTACAGTTCAACCAGATCATACAGTCAAATTGATACAAAGTTTTCTATCTAAGGAAAACCAGTTGATTGCATTGACTCATTGACTCAAATACAATCCCCCACACTAAGCATGCTTGTAGCGACAGTGGAGAGGAAAAACTCCCTTTTAACAGGAAGAAACCTCCAGCAGAACCAGGCTCAGTGTGAGCGGCCATCTGCCGAGGCCGACTGGGGTTCAAGGAGACAGAAGCAGAGATACAAAAAGCAGCTGTAAAAGGCGGCCCCGTCCAGGAAACACACAGCCAGGCAGACGAGCTCCAAGGCAGCTCCCATGCCAGAGGACGAAGAGAGCACATCCACTCAGTCACGGTCAGAGAAACAGGACCACACTGGAAAACAGGCCGATCTCCAACATCTATTAACAAGGGTGTTGATAGAAGCAGCACAGCTGATGTTTTTTTCCAGGATGACGTCACAGCCAAACAAGAACAGACGAGGCAAAGCTACTCTGAGGAAAAGCAGAGAGAGCAGAAGGTTAGAGATTGAACTAACAGATTCTGCAGAATAGGAGAACAGAGAGAGAATGAAGCAGAATGATGAAATGGGGGTCCCTATGTCCTCCAAAAGTCTAAGCCTATAGCAGCATAACTATAGAGATAGCTCAGGATAACCTGAGCCACCCTAACTATAAGCTTTATCAAAAATGAAAGTTTTAAGCCTAGCCTTAAAAGTAGACAGGGTGTCTGCCTCACGGATTAAAACTGGTAGTTGGTTCCACAGGAGAGGAGCCTGATAACTAAAAGATCTGCCTCCCATTCTACTTTTAGAAATTCTAGGAACCACTAGTAAACCTGCAGATTGAGAGCGAAGTGCTCTGTTAGGAACATAAGGAACAATCAGATCTCTGATATAAGATGGAGCTTGGCCATTTAAGGCTTTATATGTGAGAAGGAGGATTTTAAATTCTATTCTTGATTTAACAGGAAGCCAATGAAGAGAAGCCAGGATAGGAGAGATATGATCTCTCTTTTTCATTTTCATTAGAACTCACAGCTTGTTGAGGTTGTAGCTGTTTCAGGGTTTCCAAACAGCTCTGCATTGTTCTTGGGTGTATTTGCTGTTGGTTAAAACAGCTTCTGTGCTTTAAATACCCAAAACAGAGGGAAATGATTTGGTTTGTGTCAGGATTGGGTAGAAGCTTTGAGGACCCAAATGCAGAGATGAGAAGGCAGAGATGCGTTTTGCTGATTTAATTAAGGACTTAACAGGCAACTGGGGCAGAAATTCTGAAAAATGCAAAAATACTGAAAACCAATCAAAATCCAATAAACATGTTAAAGATAGGCCCACACATCATCAATGATAATTATTCTAACAAACGTCAGGGAAAATACACGTGGGAGCAAGAAACGAGGAAGCAACTAAACAACAACAAGAAACCATCACTGAGTGAAACCAGAACTGAGTGCACTTTTTTTAAGTTGAATTAATCAAAAATATGGGTGGACAAAGAACTTTAATGTCGGTTAACAATAAATTTTGAAAAGAAGCGTCTTTATATCTGATCACAGTATATTTACCTGACTTGATTTCTTAGAGCAGACGTTTCAATGATTAGCTGTTAGAGCTATAGGAAATATGAGCTATTGAATTTGTTGCTGTTTCTATTGTTTAACAGACACTCATTGATTCAGCCTTCTAAACCTTTAATTCTGCAGAGCTTTTATTTCTCAAAAAAATGTGCTTTCCAAAGTATTTAGAAATTTTGAAAGGAGGAAGTGAAAGCATAATTAACTGAGTAACCGCTTTGTTTAAAAATACTACTTAAGTTAATTAAGGTTTTTGAAAATTTGTTTCTGCAAAGGTCCCACAGCATCTAAATGAGGTTGAAGTCTGTTCTTTCTCACCAAGCAAAAACAGGATTTATTTTATAACAACTCATACATTTGGTTGAAAAGTGAAAGGTGAGAAGCCATAATTTCAGATTGTTGAAAATAAATTAAATATTGGGTTTTCAACGTCTTTTCAAAGTCTATTATTGCACTAAAGTTGGACAAAATTAGAGCGACCAAATACAAGCTCAATTTTCACAATTATTTCAGGAATAAATCAAGACTCTGATGGACCGACCAGATTAAGCCTAAAAAGCAACGTCAAAATGACGTCTGGTGTTTGGGGGGTTGACTGAGACTGAAGCACTTTGAGTCTGTCTTTGGGAAGATTGGTCAGTTAAACTTCAGCTTTCATACAGATATTTTCACATTTCACTGTTACACTTTGGTCTGCTGAAGAGTCAATGGTCAGTATTCTGTTTCCGAAATAAGCACAAACAATCACCCCTCCTACACTTTGCCTAACAGACAGCTACATTTGGCCTTCTCCAAACATGTTTTTGCCTAACATCTTTACCATTGTCTCATTCACATGGTTCATTCAATTTTCTTTTGTTAGAGGCGTTCTTTCTATCAATTCCTTTGAACAAGCCTTTAGTTTTCAGTCCCATATTCAAAGATCTAATTTTGATTTAAAACTAGGATGACAGATAACCACAGCTATTTAGTGTGTGTGTTTTCCACTAAAATATGAAATTAAAATCTGAAATATAAAAAAATGTCTTTCTTTCTGTAGAATAATTAAACCTTTAACATCACCCTTCCCACACCAATTGGAAGTAACAGCTGGTCTTCTAAGTATTTCTCTGTAAAGTTGTATTAGAATCTAGTACAAGAACATTGATGGCTGTATTAGCTATATATATAATCCAGTTTAGAAAAAGGTGACACATCTAGAGTAGTTAGAGGAACATGTCCTGATTTTAAAATGACCAAAAGTCATCATAACTGAGTGCTGGACAGCAGTTTGCCAATGTACCTATCAAGCGTAACACTAATGAACACAGGGTCCCATACGGATGGGACAGGGTTTTGTACAACCGCAGAAAGCAAGAGAATCCCGACGGAAATTTGTTGCCACAGATCACTTCATGCAATTATTGATTCTGGGATTTAATGGTGAATTTGGTTTTCATAAACTCTGTACGATGTATAAACCAGGTTTCCAACTGTGGCTCTGTGTGTGCAGGTGAAGGTGTGGTTTCAAAACCGCAGGACGAAGCACAAGCGTCAGAAGTTGGAGGAAGAGTCTCCCGAAGCTCAGCAGAAGAGGAAGGGCAGCCAACATGTCAGCCGCTGGAGAGTTGCAACGCAGCAGCCTGGCAGTGAGGATGTGGATGTCATCAGCAACGATTAGACTGCATCTGCCACTTCACAGTCTCACACACAAACATATATGAAAGACAAAAGGGACACTGGAAGATCAGACAGGACCAGACGATTGCATCCAGGATTTCCTTTACATCTAAAGCACAGTTCAAGACAAACATGACTGAGCAGCCACTGTGCATATCCTGAGTTTATAGGAGTTTCCCCGTCAGCATCCACTGAAGCTGCTGCAAGCTTGATTTGTAGTAAAGTTCTGACACAGGTTTTCAAATCTCTTGGCCTCTGGTTGTCCAAAAATTTCTCACATTATGATGAATCTTTGTCCTTTCTGTTTGTTCCAATAAATATTAGGGCTTAAAATATTTCTATGTGTTTCAGCACTGAATCTTATTGCTTAGTTTCAAACCATTTCAGCCTGCAAAGCAGAATTTTCTCAGTTGTTTATAATCTTATTTAAAATTCACCAACAAATTCTGCCTTAATGAGCACAAAAAGAGAAAAGTTTTTTTTTTTTACATAATTCACTTTGCCATTCTGCTCTGTAACATGTAGGTGTTTTAACAGTCTCATTGGTCCAACCTGACAGTCATTTTAGGATGATTATAAAACTAAGCAAGCCTCTTATTGTATGTTTCTGCTTGGGGAAATTAACACACAAATGTCGATTTATAAAAGATGCGTTCAGAATGTTACATTTTATTTGACAAAATAGGAAAAGAAAAACACAAAATAAATGGAATAAGCCAATTCTTTGGCAGGCACAGTGGCTGCTATAAATTTAATCCAAAACAAAATTTTGCATTATGATCAGAACCTTTACAATGCATCGTCTTAGAGACACACACATTGCAGAGTAAAACTGGGCACATGTATGAACACACACAAACATGTAAGCTGACAGCTTTTATTTCTGTAGACTGATTGACGGACAACAGACCTTCCTGTTCTGGACAATGAACAAGAACAGAAGATTGTTTTTCATTGGGAAAAAGAAACGTCTCTGTCAGATTTGGACTGACAAGGTTCTGATGCTTCCAAGAGGTAGAAGAAACTAAAAAAGCTGATTCTGGTTCTGGGTCCAAACAAAGACATTTTCCAGAAAATTAAACAAAAAGACATCTGCTGGGCTGCAGGTGTCTGAGAGAGGAATTCTGAGAGACACGGTGTTCTTGCAGCAGAAAGGAAGAAACCTTCTGGGACCTTGTTACAAAAACATTTGTCTGTGAAATTATTTACAGAATGAAGATTTGGGGGAATAAATAACTGCTTCCAGAATCAAACCTATTGCTCTGCTCTCAATTTTCATTCAGGAATAGAGGTTATTATCTGCAGTTCATTTGAGCTTTTTCTCAAAACGTATACAGAAATAAATCAGCTAAAAGATTTTGCGAGTTCATTTTTTCTTATCCTGTTTTCTCATTTGCTGTTGAAAAAGAGCCAGTGACCCTACAATGATGGAATGTGGACGGTCTTTGCAGGGTCTTGGGCAGGTCTTTAGGGGGTTCTTATGTAGCAGTGGGCTTCCTCATTAGACATGCAAAAGCATGAACATTTCCTGAGGGTTTAAGAGGATGCACAAAAACTTGCCAAGTTGGTTTATGAATGTGATGACAGCCCATGGGATTCAGGATAGATGGGATTCACATGTGCTGTCTGTACTGCCCTAACAGGTTGGCGAGATCATTGTAGGAGAGTGATGTTTATCTATACTGCATGATGAGCTCCCAGAAGGGGATCTTAAGTACGACTTAGTCCATAGTTAAGAGAGAGCCTCCTCTCACATTGATAGGAGGCTCTACAAATTTACTGCAATCCACCCATGTTCATTAGGCTAAAACAAAGCATAAAATGGTCTTCATTTCATAACAGAAGCTCAAATGGATCTGCATAATGGAATTTGAGCATCGCTGACGGATGACATTTTAATATATTTCCCTCTAAAACCCCAAACTGGAGGAATGTGGCATCTCTTCTTAATGCTGACTCAGTTGTTAAATTTGAAATGCAAAACAGGACCTGTGGGCAAATCTCAGACCTTCTGTTGCATCCTCATCCTCACTTACTGCTCCAAGTTTCTTTACTGATAAATAACTTAACAGCTTTTGATTACCGCATTAATTAATGCAGCAACAAAAATCTGGAATTTTAATTTTTGAGGTAATCTGATATAAATAATACTACAAAAAAAACAAAAAAACAAACACAAACAAAAAAAAACAGTTAAACAGAAAAATGCTACCTTTCCTTATGAACATAGCAGTTATGGAAACCACCAGGATCTCAGATCAGTTTGTTTTATAGGGGAGAATATTGGTATTTATGTAAAAATGGATAAAAAAAGTATTCTATGCATCTAATGTGTGTATATAATGATGATATTAATGATGGTTTGTATCTTTTCTTTTCTGCATTAATTCATCAGTTTTTTTCTTGACAGATTTACCTCACTCTCTCCTCATGTAGCACTTCTACTACTTTGATCTTTTTTTTCATTTTTTTTCATTGTTTTAGGACCTAATGCACTAATTGTACAACCCTGCTTCTCTGAGAAGATAAAAGGAGCTTTGTACTCATGTGTCAAGTTTAGAGCTAGAACGAAATAAAAAAAAAATACAATTACAAAGTTTTTATTTTTTTTTATTGTTTGTGCATTTTGGTTTTAAATTATCTTTAAACGATTGACACATTATTTTTCATGGGGTTAATTTTCTGTGCTTTATTTATTGATAACTGGAGTGATTCACGATGTTTGATATAAAACCAGCTTATCAACACCTTCATTTTGAAATAAAAAAAAATGAATAAAACTCGTAAAAGTTTTCATTTCAATATAACTGTTATTTGTTTTTACTCGTGGAATTTCTAATTCAGTATAACAAGCAATCTTAATATCAAATCCTTTTGCTTGTTTTTCAAAAAACTTCGATAAACTGTTTGCCTTTTACGCAAGAGAGAGAGAATTCCGGAATTAAAATAAAATAAAAAAAGATTGAGCTACTATTACAAGTAGTCACACATCTACCAACCTAAACCATTTTAAATAAATGTCTGAAAGTTTCTCTAAAAGGCCTCGGGCTTCTACACATATAAAGGTTAAGAAATTCAAGTATTTTCAAAACAAATTTAGACAGGCGCGCGCAAAGCGTGTCCTCGTGCGCCGCTGTCCTGCAACTTTTTACAAGTTTCCCTGCTTTAGCGCAGCTGATTCTGATTATTGCAGTTCAACAAAATCCTGTTAATCAGCTATCGCCTGAAACCAGCTGGCATGCATGGGTTAAGATATCTGCAAGTAAAGGAAATACCGGATAACAGAGGCAGCGGCTGTTGGTTTTTTTCTCCGCCTGCGCCAGCAGCAGCCGCCCGGGGTTCCACTGCACCTGCAGCCGCTGCTCTGCGGCCCTCATCGGCCCCAAACTTCAACTTTACGCGCCATCCTTGCGGATTTTCTGGTGAAATAATTTGTTTATATAAACAGAAAATGTCGACCTTCTTTGTCTCAATTCTGATAAATACATCATCGAGAATGAAGGATTAAAAATCAACGTCTTATTAAGGAGCCTCCAAATAAACTAACGGGATAAAATTCAAGCACTTTTATTTGTTGCCGCTAGAAAAGCTTGTAACGGTTTTTCCATCTTTGATTGAGATTTTAAAATAAAAAAAAAAGCATGACAGAATTTAAAGACCCCTATGTGTAGGTATTAGTTTAGTAGTAAATATATATATATATATATATATATATATATATTTACATGTATTGGTTATATATTCGCTTTTTCTAACCTGCACACCTCAAATTTTAGTTAATAAAAACCACACACGTGTCAAATGTGGAATCCCATCTGCACCGAGCCTGGCTGTGGGTCACTTTAAGTAAAACATTTCATAGTAATATGGTTAATTTTTTTTGGTTAATTACTGGAATTTCTGAATTAACTTCTTAGATGCATAAAACGGATCCTGTACTTTGGCCTTTTAATGAAAACTAATCAAATACAAAAAGGAACTTCAAGAGGCAGTGGAAAAGTTGTTACCAGCACAGTCACCCGTCTCTGCTGTCTGTGCAGCAAACTTGTTCCTCCAAGCTTTCCATAATGTCTTTCCTAGAGCAGGTGCTCTATCTAAAAGGGTTAATGAAGGAGAAAAATTAGGGGTGCTCCTTTCTCCAACATTCAACCTGTAAAGCTAACAGCTTTAGGAAGTGCAGTGGGAGGTGTTATGATACTGCTCAAATCCTGAGGACTCAACCTCATAGGTTTCAAACAAGGTCATTTATTATACGCCTAATTGCATATACAGTCGGGGAAATAAGTATTTGACCCCTTGCTAATTTTGCAGGTTTGCCCACCTACAAAGAATGCAACAATCTACAATTTAAATCATATGTACATCCTAACAGTGAGAGACAGAATCCCAAAGAAAATTCCAGAAATTCACATCATATGAATTTATAAATATTGATAACCATCTGATGAGGAATAACAAGTATTTGACCCCTGGACAAACAGCATGTTAATATTTTGTAGAAAAGCCATTATTGGCCAGCACAGATGTCAAATGGTTTTTATAGTTGGTGACAAGGTTTGTGCACAATTCGGCAGGGATGTTGGCCCACTCCTCCCTGCAGACAGCCTCCAAATCATTCAGATTCCGAGGTTGTCGCCTGGCAACTCGAATTTTAAGCTCCCTCCAAAGATTTTCAATTGGATTCAGGTCTGGTGACTGGCTAGACCACTCCAGAACCTTGATGTGCTTCTTCTTCAGCCACTCTTTTGTTGCTCTGGCGGTGTGCTTAGGGTCGTTGTCGTGCTGAAACACCCATCCTCGACCCATCTTTAGCTCTCTCACTGAAGGAAGGAAATGTTGGTCAAGAATTTCACGATTCATGGCCCCGTCCATCCTCCCCTCAATACGATGGAGTTGTCCCGTCCCCTTGGCTGAAAAGCACCCCCAAAGCATGATGTTACCACCACCATGCTTGACGGTGGGGATGGTATTCTTTGGGTTGTACTCGGACGAGTTGAGTTGAGGCCAAAAAGTTCTATTTTGGTCTCATCTGACCACATCACCTTCTTCCAGGCCTGTTCTGAGTCGTCCAGGTGGTGTATGGCGAACTTCATGCGGGCCTGTACATGTTTCTTCTTGAGCAGGGGGACCTTGCATGCGCTGCAGGATTTCAATCCATGACAGCGCAGTGTGTTACCAACCATTTCTTTTGTAACTGTGGTCCCAGCTGCCTTCAGTTGATGCATCAGTTCCACCCTTGTGGTTTTGGGATGATTCCTCAACGTTCGCATGATCAGGGACACCCATGGAGGGGAGATCTTGTGTGGAGGCCCAGACCGAGGGAGGTTGGTGGTGGTGTGGTGCTTCTTCCATTTCCTGATAACTGCATCGACAGTTGATCTTTTTTCTCCAAGTTGCTTTCCGATTCTCTAGTAGCCCGTCCCAGCCTTGTGCAGATCGACAATCTTGTCCCTGATGTCCGTAGAAAGCTCTTTGGTCTTGCCCATGGTGGTGATATTGGATGCTGGTTTTTTGGGTGTTGACAGGTGTCTTTTATTCAGGTAACGAGGTGAGGCAGGTGTATTTGATGTAGGTAATTGGTTGGGATTGGGGCTGTGTCTTAAAAAAAGACTAACTAGCTTGTAGGAGCCAGGATACTTGCTGTTTGGTAGGGGGTCAAACTAAACTGTTCATACACAGTTTACGGATGACGCCATACGTGCGCCGCTTCATAAAAAAAAAAAAATGTAAATATAAAAAATATAACCGCAGATTTCCGGGGGACAGAGATTCGCCTACATGTTATGAATGCTGGCGTACCATAAATGATAAATTATGAACAGTTTAGTTAGTGCCTTCACGTCGTTGCCCATAGGAAGACGTTACTTGGATACAACAAAACCGAATATCTTCAGAACAGCTCCAAATGACACAAAACTCATGGGTGGGTAAAATATGATGTAACAACGTAAAATCAAGGGCCCAATGTAAAAAAAAAAAAACTAGGAGGACAAATTAATTGGATGATTCACCAGGAAAAAGAACATCCCCCACTATACCTTTAAGATAACTCACCAATTTTTTAAGAAACACATTTTGAATATCATAAATGTATTATCTCCTAACATTTAATGATTGCACTGTGGTAATAGAATTATATTCGGGTTTCAGTATTCCTGTGTTTGATGATTGTCTGGGTTTGTAATGCCTTAGGTCATCCTCCGCCTTTAGCATAGCCCTGCTCCCTGCTGGCCCAACAGTACAAAAAAAAAAGAACTAAAAGGCCACTTCTGCATTGTTTCCAACTCAGTCCCTATATTAAGGCTTCTTCAGATTGCTCTTGTGACTCTATTTTCTTTTTCTTTTTTTTTTGCCAAAAAGCACCTAGCTACAAATCAAGCATCTTTTTCCATTCTCTCCAACAAGACAGGGAAACCTACTTTGTGAAATGGACTTATGTCTTGTTAGCCTTGGTATTATGCGGCTCCCCTCCTATTTTTTTTTATCATGGATTGAAGAGTTCCCTAAACAGTGTTATATGTTAAAAAGCTAAAATAATGATTTATAATCTTAATACAACCATATACCAAATAATCCCTGGTAAAATTATTGTAACATCATGCATGCACAAAAAAAAAAAAAAAAAAGCAACAAGATATTTAGACACTAAACTGGACAAGATTTTTCACTTTTGTGAATTAATGTCATTTTTAAAAACACATCTAGGGTTGCCAAACATCCCTTGAAAAGCAGAACTTTCTCATATTTAGAAACAATATACAATATATTTGAGTCAATTTCTTACAAAATAATTTGACAGATTAAAAACAAAAAAACTAAATTATCATGTCTGTTATATATTCTTGAAAGAGTTGGCCGCCCTAAGAATAACTTCGCTAGTTTTCCCCAGATCATAAGTAAGAATCCTTTCATCAACTTGAAAATAACCTGTAAGAATAATTTTCCTGTTGAATGTTTTTTCACAGTTGGACCTTTTGCTCTGTTGTTTCCTGAAGTTTACAACACACTCTTAGTGGTCAACCTCCAATCAGCTGAGAGCTGCAATTACCATCAATCATCTCAGTGTGTGTTGGATCAGAGGGGCTCAGCAGCTGAGTTAAGTATTTACCCAAACAAATTAACTCAGCTGCTCGTTATCAAACCTCTTCAACTAAATCAGACTAATTACAACAAATTAAAGCAGTTAACATTAGAATGAATCACTTTTCTACTAGGCTACAGTTAGCAGAAGGCTCTTGGTTAGAAACTTGGAAAACCCAACTGAATAAATACCTGACAGCTGTATCACAAAAGCAGAATTTAGAATTTTAGGA